GAGAAACTGGAACCCTTATTCACTGATGGTGGGAGTGTAAAATGGTGTACCCACTGTGGAAGGCGGTATGGTGTTTTCTCAAAAAGCTGCAAGCAGAGATACCACTTGACCCAGCAATTCCACTACTGGGAATATACCCCAAAGAGACCATAACTAACATCCAAGCAGATATATGCACACCCATGTTTACTGCAGCTTTGTTCACAGTCGCAAGGAGTTGGAAACAACCTAATTGCCCATCAACAAACGAATGGATAGAGAAGCTGTGGTATACTTACACAATGGAATACTACGCTGCATTGAAAAACAAGGAACTCATGCAATATTATTCAAAATGGGTGACCGTGGAGGACATTATTCTGACTGAAGTTTCTCAGTCACAAAAGGACAAATACTGCATGGTGCCACTGTTGTAAAACAGGACTGACCTCGGGGTTGGGGAGAGACTGAGAAAGATGGGTTCAGTAATGTATACTGCATTGAAACAGATGAAGGAGAAAACTGTTTAAAAGGGATATAAGATTAGATATTTTTGTCATGATGGGAGTCCAGAGCAAAGGCTACATAGTGGAGTGGACCTGGTGGGGCGGGATTGTAAAACAATGAAAAAATTTTTCTTTTACTTTTCCAAGAGGGTAGTGTACTAGGGGGGAGGGTTGGGAGGGGAGAAAAGTGCAACAATGAATGAATGGAAACCCAAGGTCTCTGTAAATTTTCATTGAAATTAATAAATTAAAAACACACACACACACAAAATGAAATACAATATATTAAAGAACTGTCTATTGTTACTGAAAGCAGACCACCAGAAAGAAACACTGAAACGACATATGCTTGCTAGTCATGTAAACCTCTCCTCTGGGCTGTCATCTTATTGTTTTACCAAAGCCCAGGCCTGGCTGCAGCAGTCCTTCCAAATATTTTTAATTCATCAGTTCTCCCCCTCATTCTACAAATCCACTCAATTGTTCCTGGAGGGTGTCTAAAAGGGGATGGGACAGAGAGACTTTCCCTCGGTCTCCTCTATCCTTTGTAACTCCCAATGTGTCGGTCTTTCACCTGATTTTTTCTTGGAGATTTTATTCCTTCCAAAAGAACATGATGCTTGGAAAGGTAGAGGGCTGGCAAATGAGATAAAGACCCTGAACCAGAAGGACTGACACTGGCTACAGCAATTGGCTCAAGTATTTTAGAAATTTGTGAGGATGGCACAGGATAGGACAGGGTTCAGATCTATTGTTCATGGGATTGCTATGAGTTGTACTCAACTTGATGGTACCTAACAACAACAATCCTTTCCTCAATTCTATTCATTTCTTCATTCTTGAGCTCATACTTAAGCTTCTGTCTAAACAATTCCTAATCCCTTTTGGCTAACATCATTAATAAGCTCTTAATTATTAACCCAATATCCTGTTCCTATGCAACCTCTGCAATGCAGAAGGCTGCATTCACTCCTTCTTCAACTCTTTCCACCTCTTCTTTTGAAAAGAGAGAACTAATAGCCCAAATCTTTTAGGTCTCTGTATCCATGGTCTTTGGTGGTGCTCTGAGCTTAGTCACATGATTTGCTCTGGTTAGAGAGACAAGAACTTGATATGAGGCTGAAAAGTGCTTGAGCCCTGCCAAGACTAGGAGACCTGTATAAGCTAGCAAGGTAGGGAGATAAGAAAGACAAGTTTGTAATATACTAGTTGCCCCTGAGTTGATTCTGACTCATCACGACCCCTTGCCTTACAGAGTACAACTGTGCTCCACAGCGTTTCTGAGGCTGTGAACTTTTGGAGGCAGAGGGGTAGGCCTTTCTTCCAATGAACTTCTGGGTGAGTTCCAATTGCTCACCTCTCCATTGCAAGCCACCCTCGTCCATGAGAGAACAGGCTGAGGAGATCAGCCCTGCTTACTTGTAGACTCATAAGGAATAGTAAGCGGTTTGAAACTACTAAATGTTGGAGTCATTTGTTAAATAGCAATAGATACACTTTGTTTCCATGATTTTTTGGGTTTGTTTTGTTTTGTTTGTTCTCTTCCTTCCTACAGCCGTCCCTACTTACTATCCTTGACTACTTAACTCGTTAAAAACTAGAATGAAGTCCTTGGCTTTCTTCTGCAATTTGAGTGATTCTCATCTACCTATTTCAATTGCCCTGTGTGCACAGATCTCTCTCTAGCCATCAGCTCACTCTCATTTTGAGACTTAAAGACATCTATGCCATCTCATTTGAATACAGCATCTACTCATTTGTTAGACTAATTACAAAACAGACATACAAGAGAGCAGTTTCTGGCCTCATGAGGCTAAGAGATCAATGGAGAGACAACTAAGTAAGTATGTGCAGTGTGTTTTAATTAAATTTCAATGACAAACAAAAAAGAACTTAATCCAAATTGTGACGGGCACAGAAAGGTTCTGGAGGAGGGGAACTTGGAACTAAATTTGATTAAGGTGTTTGATCAAGGGAGGAGGGAGCACTCCATGTATAACAGTGTATTCCAGCAATTGAGTCGCTTAACATAGCTAAGCCAGAGGGAGTGACTATGTAAGAAACAAGCCAGAGAGGAAGAAGGCAGCAGGGAATTAAGGACCATCTTTGAACACCATACATCTTAAGTTGTCACGAAGTCAGTGAATCAGAAATCACCAAAACGAATCAGGGAACAAGAAAAGAAATCTGACTTTACTGAAGATCAGCCTTAGAAAATGGAGACAGAAAGATTTCTGTGTTTTTATTGTTAGACAGGTGCTAACAATTTGAGTCCATTTTCAACAGAGTAGAACCACTCCCCGCAGTTTCCTAGGCTCTAATTTTTATGGGAACAGATCACTAAGTAGGTCTTTGTTCTGACAAAGTCAATGAAAAGGTTCAAAGTGCCCACTTTTTAGTGAGTAACTGAGCAATTTAACCACTGAGTCATTAAAACAAACAACTCAAGCTCACTGCCAATGAATTGGAGCTGACCCTCCAGTGGATTCCCAAGAGTTTACATCACACAGGAGGAAACTGCCCACCCATCTCTCCAGGAGACCCTGGTGGACTCAAATACCTAGAGGAGCTAGTTTTGAGTTAGCAGTGTAACTCTACCACCTACACCATAGTGCTGTTGTCAGGTGCCATCAGGCTGATGACAACTCTTAGCGACCCAATGAAGAATGGATCTGAACCCTCCCCTAACCCTGTGCCATGCTCATCGTCTCTGCTATATTTGATGTTAGATTAGGGCTCCTTATATATTCAGTAAGCTTACACTAAGATTTAAAAAAGATATACTGAATATAGTGCAGTATATGTGGTAGTTGCTTCATAAAATGATCACTAATGTGAGCTCACAGTTAGGTGATGTGTCTTATTTTCTTTAATATAATATTAATTAATATTATAATTTTAATACTCCCAAGACCATGCACCAGAAAGGATTCCCAGAGCATTAATACAAGTTTGCTGTAGTATTGAAAAATATATTTCAGTGTCTGGTAATCATGCAAGTTAAGACCAAATCTCATTTACTTCAAAGCAAGACTTTGCTAAAGTGTTCCTTTAGAATTAAAGGAGGCCTGTCTACTTGAGCATTTTTCTAACTAAGGATACAGGGGTGGGTGGGGCGGAAGCATTAAATCCATAGTTGGCACCTTAGATATTTGCAAAGAAAAATTTAAGTGTTCTACTCAACCATTTTTTTTTAATGAACGAAACCGGTAGTGCAACAATGAATGAACGGAAATCCAAAATCTCTGCAACTGTTCATTAAAATTATTAAAATTAAAAAAAAAGACAAAAAAAGTGAATGAAACCTCACCTTTAAAAAGAAGGGCATATAGGACAGTTTAACTCCACGAGCAAAAGCAATGGGTTTTAGTTCTTCTCGTAACTTGACCAGTTCAGTCATGTCAACCTCATCACAGTACCCAAAGTGAGGGATCTTGAGGGCTGCAGTCATGGTCTTGACCATTGCTTTGTGGAAGCCTGGAAAATATTCAATCAGTTGCTCTTAAATTCTTAGAGAATTTTCTTTTTTTTTCAACTAGGAAGATTCTCTTAATGTTATTTTTTAGGGGTTCCTGGGTGGTGCAAAGAATTAAACACTGAACTACTAACCTAAAAGTTAGCGAGTTGAAGCCATCCAGAGGCTCCTGAGAAAAGAGATCTGCTTCCCAAAGGTCCCAGCTTTAAAAAGTCTGCAACACACAGGGTTGTCATGAGCTGGAATTGACTGAAGGGCAACTTGTTTGAGTCTCCCCACCCCGCCACACACTTTTCATGCTATTTACTGTCTCCATTAAAACCCTCTTCCTAAAAGGTACTATTCTTATTGCATAACTTCCAAGCCACGCACTCCAGTGCTTGTTGAAGTGCTGACTGAAGCAACCTCATTCAGTGGTGAAATAATGCAAGTAATTACTTTAAATGCTATGGCAGTAGAGGCTAAGGCTTTTCATTAGAACAGTCTGACAAAATCTATTCCATTTTGGACGGCAGAAGCCACGTGAAGTGAAGTAGCTTTTCTGCTTCTGTTGTTCTGGCTATTAGTCATTTCCCTTCCTGCTGCTGATTCATGCAGTGACTACTCTTTCAACTTAAGATGGGTTTGTTTGTTTTTTTAATCATTTAAATTTTTTTAAAAAATTTTATGTTAGTGTGTGTGTGTGTGTGTGTGTGTGTGTGTGTGTGTGTGTGTGTGTGCGCGCGAATAGGATTCTGACTGATACAGGAGGAGATTGCCCCTCCTTCTCTGGCAGAGCATCTGGTGGATTAGAACCACGTGACTCTGGGATTACAGTGCAACTTCTTGCCACTAGGCAACCAGAGCTCCCCAATTTAAGATGTTTTTACAGGATCACCATTTAGAGCACTCAGGAAAGGGAAGCAGAATAAAGGTAAAAAATAAAGCACAGAAAATAATTGCCCTGAGGAGTTCTTTTAGTCTCTAGGAGTTACTTTAGTCTTTAGGAATGAATGCTGTGTACACCTGCCCCCACCCTATGTCCTTGATTTCCCTCTCTTACTGTATGTTTTGCTCATTTTATAAACCTGTCAGGAGAAACCCAAAGCCCAGTAGACTTAAGAGAATGAAGAACCACCACCAACTCGCCCACTGATCAATATAATAATTTTTCTTTTTTCTCAACCATGATCTAATTGAGTTGAATTGTTCCAAGGAAAACAAACCCAAAGCTTTGGGCAATAGTAGTGTAAAAAATTCCCCAGGGTAGAAGCCAGGTATTTGCTGGCCGGTTTTTTTGGAAATAAAAACTTCTGTTCCAGAAGGCAATCATCCTAAGAGCTTATAAATGACAAATCAATGACTTCTTTTCACTTAAAAACAAGGTATGCTCAAAATATCCTATGCAAGTGTTTAATAGAACAATTATCAATACTCAAGTTTATGTATCAAGAAACTTGTAATATTACATCTCAGAAATTAAAAGTAGAAAGCTAAGCTTCCCTTGAAAAACTCTAACTTGAGTTTACTTTTTTGATAGTTATATGCAGAGTCTGAATTTTCCCTCCATTAAGAATCAAAACCACGATATATACAGATCTTTTAAAGTAGCTTCCCTTGAAATAAACATGATCGCTTTATATTACTGCTACTCTCCTTCTAAGCTTGGAAGGAGGATTGGCATCCACTTCCATAATAGCTTGCCTCCGGAAATCCTATGAACCTGGAGAGAGGATGAGAGACACCCAAGTATTGAGGACTCTCCTTCATAGGGTCGCTATGAGTTGCCTGCAACTCGACGGCACTTAACAACAACAACAACATAGGGAGAGAGATAAGCTGGCCCAGTGGACAGAAAGCGATGCTACCAAGCCAAAGGTGGGTGACTTTGAATCTGCGGCCCTCGGGCCTGTCGTTCACTGTTTTTGTTCAGACATTCCTCTAGGTCATATAGCCCTGGTGTACAAGTTGCCGTACAGTGGTAACTTGTGGGTGCTGTGAGGCTGAACACTGTGACACTGATGTGTCAAATGCGTTAATGGTTGGTTACGCAATGTGGACAGAGAGTCGGGTGGAGCCCCTATAACCTGGAGGGAGGAAGAAAGGCACCCAAGCGTCGAGGATTCTCCTTCATAGGGTCGCTATGAGTCACCTGCAACTCGATGGCACTTAACAATAACAACTCTGCTTCTTACCTTTTAGAGGCTCTGTCCTGTCCTTGCCAGTGAACACCGGAGGCCTTGATATGGGTGGAGGAATAGTCCTTTCTTTTGGTTTTGGTGGAGGTGGCATGATTTCAGCTTTTGGTGAAGGAGGTAATATAGCTCCTGTCTGCTTTGCCAAATAGTTGAGAATATCTTCTTTAAGTATTCTGCCATCTTTTCCTGAGCCAACAACTTCACTCAATTTAATCTAAAATAAAAAAAAAATTAAAGTTAAAAATAACTCCATCATTAAAATGTCAAAAAGGAATTTTATCAACTGAAGTAAAAAAAGATATCTGGCTTAAAAGTTAGCTCAAAAATAAATATACGGCTAAAAAAAAATATACGGCTACAGCTAGCTACCCTTGGTAGGTAATTATTTATCACTTTTGTACACACTATTCATTTGCCCAAGCAGTAACTGTTTGTATCTACACATTATATACATTCTTCCTACTCCTTCCAATCAAGTTGATTGTGACTCCAGAGGGCACAGGACATTTGCACCCTTCGGTTTATATAAAGCTTAATCTTTACCCAGGCAGACTGCCACATCTTTCTCCTGTGGAGCAGCTGGTGAGTTTGAACCCCTGACTGTGAGCCGAAGGCTGAAGCAGTGTGCCAGCATGGCTCCTAAGTTTGTTTCATAAAAATCTGTGGTGTATAGACGGAGCTCTGGTGTCACAGGCTGTAGGGAATGCGGCTGGTAACCCAAAATCTTGCTAGAAGTTCGACTCCACCAGGGGCTCACCAGAAGAAATAGGGGCAATCTCATTCCCGCAGAAACCCCCAAGAGGATCAGCTACGAGTTGGTACCAACTTGACAGAAATGAGTTTTGAGTTTTTAGTGGTTTATTTATGATGTATGTATTGCTGTGGTTGTTAAGTATTATCAAGTCAGAACCAATCCACAGCTGACCCTCCAGCAGGTTTTCACATGAAGTAAATCACAAGGGAGATGCCTATCTTTCTCCCACGGAGCAACTGGTGGATTTGAACTGCATGCCTTTGGGTTTAGACAGAACTCCTTACCACTAAGCCATCAATACTCAGTGTATGTGCGTTTATATACATGTGCATTTCTCTTGTTTCTGTCTCTCTATGTATATATACATATATTTGTGTTCCATTGAGTTGGAACTGACCCATAGTTGACCACTCAGTGGGTATTCAGAGGCAGTTAATTGCATGGTAGGAGACTGTCCATCCTTCTCCATGGAGCAGCTGGTGGATTTGAACCACATGCCTTTGGGATACTATATAAAAACTAAAGCTGTCTTTTTATAAAAAAATGTACTTTAAAAAAACCCAACAATCTTCCATTTGTAAATAATTCTTCTTAAATTTCTTGCATAGTTCTTAAAAGATGTTCTGCTGGAACAGTGTGGTATGCTGAGCTCTAACTGTGCTGAGGGATAAAGATGGACCATTTCCTGCCTTAAAGAATTATGGCCTGGAAACCTGATGGAGTGTTGTCTGGAGAAGGAATTGCTTGAAGGGCAGTGGATTGGGTCTGTTTAGGGTGGCATAATTCTTACTTAAATATTTTCTATTCTACGAGTCGCCTGCGACTCGACGGCACTTAACAACAAGAACATCAACATAGAGAGAGATCAGCTGGTCCAGTGGACAGAAGGCGATGCTACCAAGCCGAAGGTGGGTGACTTTAATCTGCGGCCCTCAGGCCTGCCTTTCATTGTTTTTGTTCAGACATTTCTCTAGGTCATATAGCCCTGGTGTACAAGTTGCTGTACAGCGGTAACTTGTGGTTGCTGTGAGGCTGAACACTGTGACACTGATGTGTCAAATGCATGAATGTTTGGTTACCCAATGCGGACAGTTCTCTCTGCTATGCCCCAAATTTTTCTGTCATGATGTTGCTGACTGTTGGTCCTATGGTGCTGTTGGTTATTTTAGGTGCTGTCAAGTCTTATATGACTCATAAGGATCTTATGAACAGATCTGAACCCTATCCTACCCTGTGCCTACCTCACAATCTCTGACACACTTGAGCCCACTGCTGCAGTCACTGTGTCAATCTAGCGGTTGAAGGTCTTTCTCTCCTTTGCGGTACTTCCACATTTCCAAGCATAATCTCTCTCTCCAAGGAATAGTCTTTCCTAGCAACATGCTCAATATATGCAAGATGAAGCCTCACTATCCCTGCCTACAAGGAGCACTCTGGCTGCACCTTCTACAGGACAGATCTGTCTGTTCTTTGGGTACTCCATTGGATAGTCAGTACTCCTCTCCAACACCACAGTACAAAGCCATCAATTTTTCTTCTGCCATCCTTATTCAGTGTCCAGCTCTCAGCAGCAAAGACCCCAAAGTCAGGGAACAGTTTGTATATGAATTGTTGAAAGAAATATTAATTTGCTAAGTTTTCACCTAAGGCAACAACAAAATGTTAGTTAATTCATTATTCTCACAGGTCAAAATAAACATTCAAAGAGATATTTGTAAATATTTATCTGAAACCAGAAAGCCATTTAGCCTGGAATATAAATGTGTACTCCACCCTCTTCAGCCAAAGACTGCCAAGAAGAATCACACAGAAGGCCAGCAACTTTCTGGGCATCCCTCATTCCTTTGGGATCAGAGCAGCTCCTTGAGATCACATTCATTATTCCTCATCCTTTCTTTAGTTGCTTCCCTTATTCCCTTCAATATGCCTTATACCTCAACATCAAGAAAACAAAAATCATCACAGCTGGACTACCAGGAAACATCGTGACAGATGGAGAAAAGACTGAAGTTGTCAAGGATTTTATTTTGTTTCCTCCACAATCAACACTCTCGGTAGCAACTGCCAAGAAATCAGAAGATATATTGCACTGGGGAAATCTTCTGTCAAGACCTCTCCTTCCTCCTACAGGGGAAGGATGTCCATTCAAAGCCCAAGGTGTTCTAGACTCAAGTTACATTATGTTAAATTGCTTCAAAAGAATGTCAATGGCAGACAATGAGTAAGGAGTACTGAAGGGCTGATGTCTTTGAATTGCAGAGCTGGTGAAGAGTATTGAACATACTGTGAACTGTCAAAAGGACAAGCAGGAAGCAGGAAGAGTAAGCAGAGTGCTCCTTATAGGCAAGGATAGTGGAACTTCCTCTCATATACTGTGGCATGTTGTCAAGAGGGACCAATCTATGAAAAAGACAGCAACCAGGGAAATGTAGAGCACCAGTGAAAGAAAAGAAGAATCTCAAGGAAATGGATTGACAGTGTCTGCAACAATGGGTGTGAGCAGGGTGGAGACTGTGTGGATGGTGCAGGGTAGGGCAAGGTTTTGGTCTACAGAGGTTCATTGTGTCACCATGAGTAATAGCCACCTTGACAGAACTTATAAAGCCTGTTTCCCTTATTCTCAACTTAGCAATTCCTCAATAAATCAAATCAGTTACCTGTATTCAAATACCTATCTCAAAGCCTGCTTTCAGAGTACCTGACCCACCTGACCCACGACACTAGTATATATGTTCATTCAACTAATGCATGTTATTTTTGTTTGTTGTGTGCTGCTGAGTCTGACTGACCCACAGGTGACTCTCCAGAGGGTTTTCAGAGACAGTAAATTGCACAGGAGGAGACTGTCCATCCTTATCCCATGGAGCAGCTGGTGGATTCAAACTGCGTGCCTTGGGGATTGCAGCGTAGCTTCTTACTACTAAGCCACCAGTGTTCCTCTATTATGAGAAAGAACAATAAAAGTGCACTGTGCAATTATTCTAAGTTACATATTTAAAAAAAACAACAAAACACTCATTTCTCATGCATACTTCAGTGCAACTAACATATTTCAGTAACATTTTCAGACTTTCTTTAATTGCAACTAGATCCATTTCTTCATGCAACAATTGGCTAATTTTTCAGAGATGAAAATGTATTCTTTACGTGTTATCTCACATTTCAAATATAAAGACAATTTACATTGTTTTCCATTGCCAGGCGGCGAACTGCAGGTGTTGCCAGCGTTTTGTGGCCTTTTATCTCTTGATGTGTGTGCTCATCATGGGACACAGCAGGAGTTTCAACCACATCTTCTTCTGAATCTATTAACAAGACAAAATGTTACTTTAGCTAAGAAACATCACAGGAAATAAAAATGTTCAAAAGCGTATAAAAATGTATGTTACAGTTTATAGTCAAAATGATAGTTAGGATACTTTACACAGTTATCCTAATAGGGAAGGGACAGATAAAGGAGGTAGGATGAGGGATAAAGCAGTGTTGAAGGGGTGGTCCTATGACCAACAGGCTAGAAAGCTAATGGAGGGTTGCCATGGAGTCGGAGCTGACTTTGATACTAACAGCTAGGTTTGGACTTGGTACTAACAAAAGCTAATATTAATGGCTATGATTTCCTGGGACTGATACCTGGCACTGGTTCATGATTATCTGATGTTTTCTTTTCACATACATTAAAATCATATAGCAGCTACAGTTCAAAAGAGTCTTCCACACTTTAAAACATGTTGCACATTAAACATCTTCCCAACACATTTCTCTAGTTTACATCTATAAATAACACAAAAGAATCAAATGTGAGATTAATGATATCTCTGGCAATCTTAAAAACTTTCCAAATATAGCAGCGCACTTAAATTCTCTGCTTTGAATGATATTTAAGGACTGATATGGAAGATTTCAGTTTTTTGGCTAGTGCTTATTTTACTTTTAGCCTGAATTTTTTTTTTAAGAAAAAAGAATATTTTAGAATATCTAATTGTCACAGATGTCAGAAATTAATGTACTATCAAAACAACTATGAGATATCATCTCATCCCAGTAACAATAGCAAAATTCAACAGAGCAGCAAACAACAAATGCTGAAGAGGTTGTGGAGAAATTGGAACCCTTATTCACTGTTAGTAGGAGTGTAAAATGGTGCAACCACTTTGGAAGGCAGTATGGTGCTTTCTCAAAAAGTTGGAAATAGATATACCATTTGACCCAGCAATTCCACTACTGGGAATATACCCTAAAGAAACCAGAACTGCCACCCAAGCAGATACATGCACACCCATGTTTACTGCTGCTTTGTTCACAATAGCAAAGAGTTGGCAACAACCCGAGTGCCCATCAACAAATGATTGAATAGAGAAACTGTAGTATATTCACACAATATAATATTATGCAGCACTGAAAAACAAAGAACTCATGAAATACAGAGGTAACTCGTGGTTGCTGTGATGCTGAACACTGTGACAGTGATGTGCCAAACGTGGTAATGGGTACCCATGGTGGACATTGTTGGCTGGAGCTTCCCGACTAAAACAAGCCTGAAAGCAGGAGCGGCATCCACTTCCGAAATGGCTTGCCTCTGGAAACTCTATGTACGAACAGTGCTCAGGCCTTTCGTTCATAGGGTTGCTATGAGTCATCTACAACTCGACGGTACCTAACAACAACAACAACATGAAATATTATACAAAATAAGAGACCCTGGAGGACATTATGCTGAGTAAATTATCTCAGTCACAAAAGGACAAATACTGCATACTCCCACTGTTATAAAACAGGACTGACATGGGGGTTGGGGAGAAAATAAAAAAAGAGGGGACAAACAATGTACATGGCATTGAAACAGACAAGGAAGAGAACTGTATAAAAGGAATATATAATTAGGTATTATTGACATGAAAAGACTCCAGAACAAGAGCTGCATAGTAAAGTGGCCAGGGTGGGGGTGGGGGTATGGACTATATAACAACGAAAGTACTATTTAAAAAAGTGAACTTTGGGGGTGGTTAGCAGGGAGGAAAATGTGCAAGAATGAATGAATGGAAATCCAAGTTCTTTATAAACTTTCATTGAAATCTCAATTAAAAAAATAAATCATAATAGTATAGCAAAATCTATGTGTAAATTAGTATATTAAGCAACTTCTAAAAATCAACTGCTATAAAGTTTGTTTCAGCATTAAGTTTTAGAAAATGAAATTTTTCCATTCTGCAAATGTGAGAAGACATATCTCCATATGAGGCAATGAATAGTGGAATTCCTTAAATTCCCTTAATGGTAAGGAATGGATTTTTTTTTTCATGATTTATATTTTATTGGTGGTTTTAAAGGCCAGTACAGAGACATTATGAACAACCTGTACACAATTCTTAATGCACATACCAAATATCTAAAAAGCCATGTAGTTCAATTCTTCTCTAAATTCCAGTGACCTTCCAGCTTTAAATTTGGAGGAAAGTTTTCATAAAGAAGAAAAGAAATAACAATATCTTCAATTGTTGATAAACTGTCACATTAAGTCCCACTAATTCACAATTTACTATCACACACATTACACATTCATATTTTCAACCGTTCACAGCACATAACAAAATTATTAGGAAAACTGGATTACCAAGACCAAAGATGTTACAGAATTCACATAGTTCTGACAGGGAGAAAGCCATGAAAAGGGAATGGTTATGTTTAAGAAGAAATTTTACTAAACAATGTTCTAATTTATGTATCTAAAATCATGGAAAATAAGACGTAATTTAAAATGTTCAAGTCATAAACGCATGACTATGACTCCAAATTGTCATTAAGTATACTATGCATTATGGGATATAAAAACTGTCTTCCCCATGGAATGTTACACTGACATTTAAAGCACCCCCCACCCCAATTTTAACATCCCACATTTTCTGGTTGTGCCAAAAAAATAAACAACCAGCAAATGTTCTCACCTCTTAAAAAAAGCATTTACACTTAAAAATGGGATGAAGTGGGATTTCCTTCTTCTTAAAAGTGTTTCTAGAGCTACTAAAAAACTTGCATTTACAAAATAGTTGATAAAAATATTTCTCTGGACTGTACAAGAAAGGAGATACAGAGACCACTGATAAGATATGGTAGACAAATATTAATCAGACTCCGCTTCTTTTTCTCCTGCTTCATCAGAGGCGGGACTCTCTTTGTTTTTAGTCTCTCCATTTTCTGCAGGTAAATCTTGTTTAGTTTCTTGGTTAGCCACTTCAGCCTGTTTTCCCTGTGCTCCCTTTTTCCCTTTTGTTTGCACTTTTTTTGTCAGAAGACTTCTTTCCTGCTGCCTTTTTGGGCTTTGTTTCCACTTTTGCAGGTAGATTAGCTGATGGCCTCACTGATCTCCTCTTGGGCTCCTCCTTCACCACACCCTAGGCCGAGGTGACCTTCCTCTTGGGCATGCTGGCGGCAGGGAGGGCTCAAGCCGGGTGCCTGTGGGCCACGGCAAGCATAGAGCCTTCGCGAAGCTGGGTTGCTCTGGCACTGCCTCTCTGCCAATCGCACTGCCTCTGACACACCCACCCCGATTGCCCCAGTCACTGAATCAATCCACCTCATAGAGGGTCTTGCCCTCCTGCGCTGTCCCTC